GATCTTGGCTCACTTTACTTGCCAGTGGATAGCTTAATTGCAGGCTAGTAATTTAATTTTACTTCGTTTTCTATTGGTGTTAGTCGAATATAATATTAGCATGAAACGTCAGTGTTCCGCAAGAACAATTCGTATAATTGTTCACAACGGTTTCTGTTAGTTATGTGCATGGCTAATCCCGCTGTTCTTTAGCCCTCCTGATCCGTTCAAGGTTTTTGTCCATCCGTTTAACATTTTAAGCTATCAATTAATAGATTGTGTTCAACCGTTTAATGTTTTAAGCCATCAGTTTAATTTATTCTCGGCCGTTTAACAGTTTACGGAATCCGTTTTTGGACTTTGCTCTATCGTTTAACACTTTGGACTACCCGTTTAAATGGATATGCAAACCGTTTAAACACTTACTACCCGTTTATTATCCATTTACAAACCGTTTATTTTCGACCGTTTAACGAAAAAGCGTTAGAGTACGAAATCCTGTGCTCGGTCACATATAGCACTCATATCCTGAGCTCATGGCACTTTACAACACTGTGTGGGGGACTTTACCAGACTACTAAGCAGTTTACAATCAAATAAAGGTGAATCTAACAGATGCCCCCTCCCCCCAATTCCCAGTAAACAGGCCAGACCACATCACAGTAATCTTGTGAGTGGGTTCTTTAATGTCCCCTGCTCAACCAAATTAACTAATTAATAGATGCAGGAGACGTATTAATAGATGCAGGAGATATATTACCACAAGTTAATAGATGCAGGAGACGTATTAATAGATGCAGGAGATATATTACCCAAGTTAACCATGCTCTACCATGTTAACTCTCATCTACCTTAAATTAACCATGTTCTAGTGCATCAACCCCCATCTACCTGTAACCCCCATCTACCTGTGTTAACCATTTGTTACCACATTAAATCTTGTCTACCCCCAGTTAACCATGTGCTACCATGTTAACCCTGATTTACCCTAAGCTAACTAAAGTATGTAAATTGCTGTGTTAACCTTCATCTACCCTAAGTTAGCCATGTTCCACCATGTGTTTCTAATCATTTGCAAGATCTAAAACTAGCATAGATACTGGCAAATGAATTGCAACTTTCTACAGCTAGTCAAACAAGTGTGATTTGCGGTCTTGTTTCTACATGTGGATAAAATGTAAACAAGTATCTAAGACTGTTTTCATTTTTATTTTTCTATTTATCTTTTTGGATGTTATTGTTTAAGGTGATGGGAAAGGAAGCCACAGATGTGTGGGTCCTCAACAAGACAAACCACATAGATGATACCAGGAGTGTCATTCCAAGGGAAGCACAGATTTACATCCTTTTGGATGATACATCCCTTCCTGTTTTGACTGGAATAACAAGTATGTTACTCAGACCTTACAAAAAGAGGCAGAAGTTGTTCTTCCTCTAGGAACTGCATGGATAAAGTACGGCTTAAAATTAACCAGGAAACAATGCTCCTATATTTCTGATTATAAATCAAACGATGAACTGCCCCAGGTGGAAATCTTGCTAAGATCTTGATAAGAATCTTAGTAAGTTTCTTAAAAAGATCCTTGTATCTTAAGCAAGATTCTTACAAGAACCTTACAACAGCTTGTAAGATTCTTGTGAGAATCTTTNGGATCTCTTACCCAAGGCTTGTTTGAAGTCTTTAAAAAGAACAAGGATTGTTGCAAGTTCCCTCAGCAGTGGAAAGAATCTTTAGTTATACCTATCTTTAAATCACAGGCATCCTGTGGTAAGCTCGTGGAGTAAGTAAGATTCTGTGTCTGGGAACTGATATAGAAAATTTTGAAGCTTACAGAGTGGTTGCAATAAAGTCTAATACACATTTTTCTGTTTTATGATTTCATTGAAAATATATGAACTTCATATATTCATCGTATCTGATTTATCATCATGGGTTTATTATATGAATCAACTTAATGGCCTGCTCCCAGTTGGCTTGTTGGCTCAGTTGGTAGAGCGCTGCAGTAGTATCGCAGAGGTCAGTGGTTCGAATCCCATGCAGGCCTGATTTTTTTCAGGTCTGATTTTTGCTATTGCATAAATAGCGCTCTATACTGCGAGGATCGTGCATCATACGTATCTATAACCGCAGTTCAAAATATATGAACTTCATATATTCATCGTAATACGATTTCATTGGTTGGTTGTAGTATTTGCTAATTGATCTGTGGAGTGGGATTTTCGAAATCACTCTAGTAGAAGTGTAGTTTATTTTGGAAGTTTTATTTATACCTGTTTCGACAAGGAACCTCTCCAAGCTTTTCCATTTTTCCTAAGACACACTTTTATTGCTGATCCCTACTTCATGTAAGAGTACATTGCTATCTAAATATGGTCAATCAAGCCATATACGTAACATACCAAATAACATTTTCATAACAGTAATTGTAAAGGTACAATTCTTCGGAAAAGCAACTGTACTGTAGAATATGGAAACAGGACAGAATGAATGGTAGCTTCAATGTTGGTATTTAGTCAACTGAATTGTAATAGAAAAGATCAAAGTTTGTTTGCTTTTGAATGTAATGAGCCTTTTTGCAATTGTTACCCAAAAAAAAAAAAAAAAGTCTTTTTATAGGATTACACAATTATTGGTGAACCAGTAGTTTCCATTGTGGTCCTTGCGAGCAAATGAAACAAATGGTTTGAATTGAACATAACATCATTAAGAACATCATTAAGAACCCCAACCGGCCGGAGGCAAACTAGTTGGCTATTTACAAGCGTGGCCAAGGATCTGAACTTGGGGCTACCGTGAAACAAATCCAGTGGTCAGAGTGGGACTCGAACCTGGGAGCGGCAGATTACGAGTCCAACACTCTAACCACTCAGCCACACTGCCTCCTTATTGTTACGCAAAAAATGGCAGTAAACATTTTAATTTGAAAGCTTAAATGCTCTACCAATAAAAATGTTAACAGGAAAGATCAAAGTTTGTTTGCCTTCAAATGTAATGATCCTATTTTACGATTGTTACACGTACTACAGCAGTGAACATTTTAATTTTACTGCTAAAATACTATCAATGGGAACTGCAACAGAAAAGATTAAAGTTTGTTTGTCCTTTAAATTTAATGATCCTATTTTGCAGTTGTTTTAAATACAACAGCAGTGAGCATTTTAATTTTACAGCTAAAACATTAACAATGGGAACTGTAACAGAAAAGATTAAAGTTTGTTGGCCCTTTAAATGTTATGATCCTATTTTGCAGTTGTGTTAAATACTCTTAAAACATTTTCAATGGGCACTGTATCAGAAAGGATTAAAGTTTGTTTGACCTTTAAATGTGCCCCTGCTTGTTGATCTTTGTCTTTACTTTGCTTTGTTGGATTTTGGTGCTTTTTTCCTTTGTTTTCTTGTCCTTTTGTCATGGTGGACTTTGTTTATTTATCTGGTGTGTCTCAGGTTCCTGATCCTGTAGCTGTTGATCTGTTACCTCTTCTTGAGGGTGCTGTTTCATGTCAGTTATAAGCCTTTGGTTAGGTGAAAGCTGGAAGTCTACATTTTCCATCACCAACATTTTTTCAGTCAGGGTGTGAGTGTCTTGTTGATAACTGTATATATCCTCAGAAAGGAATGCACTGATTATCTTAGGAAAAGCAGTAATCTTGTATGTTGTATCATCCTTCTCTAAGTGGAAGTTTATGTTCATTTCATAGTAACATTGTTTCGACAGCATTGCCTGTTGCAACTTTGGCAGTGGATGGCACATGATCCCTGCTGTGTTACATACATATATATACATAACCTTTATTAACGTATCTAGGTGTTCTAGTGCCTGTAAGCACTAATTGGGGACACCCTAAAACTACATTATATCATTAAAACAGATTAAAAATACTCTAAAACTAATATACTAATTAATGGCACTAATGCACATCCTAAAACTACATTATGTCATTAAAAAAATGTATATAAATACTTTAAAACATTAAAAATGCCCTAAGATATGCACACATTCAGTTAACCAAAGCATAAGTGGCATTCCCTCCCACATCCTTCCAGAAATGATGTTACATCCTTCTTATGTATCATAGTCCTAAAGGATTCCAAATTTTCATGGATGCCAAATTTGTTGAGAGTTATTTTCTTTGAACAATCTTTGTTGTTACAAACTGCCGGGTATGCCTTTATGGCCACATTCATGATGGTTGGGCAGCACAGCTATTGGGTACTTTCTTTTGTTCTGGTATTCTGAGGCAAGTGCTGTGGCTCAGCATTTGTAATCTGTGTGCTTTTAGTCGTACTTGGGCATTTCCCATAATAATACCTCAGTTTGATGTCTGATATTGTATAAAATTTATTTTCTTCTAGTTGCTTGATATGCTCTTGCCAGACAGACAATTCGATGGTGCCAGTGCTATCACAGAGAACTGCATTTCTCACCACTGCCCCATTTTTTTCTGTAGTAGTTTCAGGGCCTCTCCAGGTAATCATCCCACTGACTGTAAAGATGCCAGATGTTTGGCTTGTGAGCAAAGAGTCAATCTTTGTTACTTCCTTTGTTGGTGGAGACAATTTGAAGTCCCCACCATGTGGAAGCGCATCAAGTACTGCACTGCTGTAATTGAAGAAAAGAGGTCTACTGCTTGAAACTTGTAAGTGCTTTACTACAATTGGTTTTTGTGTAACCATGGCATCAAGAAACAGTTGACATTTTGAAAATTCGTGTGCCTTCACCATGAAGACTTTTTTGGTCTTGGGTTACTTGCAAATGGACATCAAAGAAGGTGTTGGTTCAATCAATCAATCAATTAGAGTTTATTGTCTAACGTGAGGCGTGGTTGCCCAATTGCCCAAGGCAGAGGCTCATCTATAAAATGGTAGACTAGAAATTAACTATAATTAAAGGTATATTATTAGAAGTACTTAAAACTTTATAGGTAAAAATATATAAGTTTAGAGTATGAATGATAATTGTAAAATTGTAGGTGATTAATATTGATAGTTAAAGAGTCTTAACATTATGTTCAGTGAAAGATATTGCAGAAGATGAATATGAATAAAAAATGACAATGTAGGTGTATGTACAATAAAAGTCAACTACATGTATTACATTTATAGATTGGTCCTAGAGTGCTAAAATCGAAATTCTTAAGTTTACTACAGAAATCGCTGAGCTTAGATGCTGTTTTAATTTCTCTAGGTAAACTGTTTCAAAGGTGATTAGCTGGATGATTGAGTACTCTTCTGTATTTCAGTGCAGACTTGCACATACCCTGCCAAATTTGCAAGAGAAAACATACATATTAGAGTGATTTTACTTAGCGTCTGAAATAGTCACTATACTTTTAGTTGGTATTAAGTGATTGTTTTCTTTTGTTTAGTTTAGAGTGTTACACACCAACTGCAAGATATTGTTTCTCAGGTTAAATAAAATCACTCTAAAAAGAGTTTGTATCAAAAGTGGTTAGGGCTTGTCCTATAAAATTATATTGTTTAATCTCTTTTAGACTATTCTTGTTTAGCTCTGTTGATTATAGCATCATATAATCATCTGAGAAGGGCTAGGTCACAGTATTGAGATGATTTTGTTTATATCCAATAAATATCATCTTAAAACTTCCAATTGACAGAGTTCTACTTTTTTTTTCAAGCTGTTACTTTGATATTTCAATCAATAAACTACCAACTGGTGAGTACTGAAATCCCCCAAAATTGCATTGGCTAGCCCCTTTAATTCGACAAAAGAATATTTTGATTTTAAAATCATTGTATAAGACAATATTATTGATTCCATTTGGCAGTGCATGTGTACCCTTACAATGCCTAGAGGACATTAAAATGTGGGAAGAACATGGGTCTATTCTTGGTATGGTTTTGATGTCATCTGAGTGTGCATTATCAGAGTACTGCAAAATGGAATGTAGTTGTTAAATACCTTGAGTTGTTTGAACACATAAAATATCAAATCTTACCTGTCATCTTGCTAGGTGAGCAAGGTGGTGATCCTCCAAATTTCATACGTTTTGGGCTCAAAAGGCCAGTGCCCAGTCTGTTGCCCTGGCCTATAACAACAGATCACCAGAGAGTGTATAAATATCAATGAGATTAATTGTTTTTTACTATTATCATCTGGAGTGCAACACTGCCTACTGAAGTAAAATTTTCATTGAATAAGGTGCATCTAACTTCATCATCTTTGAACAAAACCATGTGAAATGACCACTTGTTGGAAAGTTAATGAGTATTACTTTCACATGGTGTTGTTAGTTGTTGTTTTTTTCAGGTTATTACTTTTGTACACTTTGTCACTAAAGGGTTATAAGAATGGAAACTGTTCAAAGGCGAAAAAATTGAAATTAAGAAGAAGTTCTTACTTGTTGTGTCACTGGAAGGTGAAGATGTAGGGCTTGAGGAAGCCATTGCTACAACTGAATAAATAAAGGAAAGTTAATCACATTATGTTTTATTGCCATGAGACAAAAAAGCAAATATTGGCTTGTGATCACTAAAATAGGATTCTAAAGTACCTGAATGCTTTACCTGAGCTGGTATATTAGTATAAATGTGATAAAGGAGGGAATGGTAATCTGTTGTGCACTGAGAAATGATTTGTGTAAATTAACTGTCTTTGTTGTTGAAACAATGTTTGCAATAGTTTCTTGTCTGATGAGTCCTCTAGAAGATTGACATTAAAGTCATGCCAAGTATCAATACAGGAGTAGTGCTGGAAGTTTCTGGTAGCAATGTATCCCACAACTGATTTACTTTGTTAATTAAGACTTGTAATGGAACTTTATTTTTTGAACGATATATCTCCATTATGTGTAAATTTGGAATCGGGTCTTAGTACTGTAACAGTTACTTCTACATCATTCATATTAAACCTAGTTGGTTTGGTGACAAATGTTAATGTGTCTTTACATAAACAGCAGTCCCATAACTAGTTCTAATGTTGTTGTTAGGGCAGTAGTCATTCCTGAACAATTTAAAACCATCCATTTGATAACGAAAGGATGAATCTAAAGAACAAAGAGAGGTCTCTACAATAATATTTATATCTGGTTCCTGAACATTAAAGTCAGATGATGTCATCTAGGTAGACGAGCAGTATTTGGAATATGTAATCGTTCAAACAAGTTTGCATAAGCCTTTGGAAGGTGGTAGGACTGTTAGTCATTCCCATGGGCATTCTGTTGTATTCAAAAATTCCAAACGGTGTCGTAAAAGCAGGCTTGTGTCGGTCCTCCTCATTCATAGCAGCCTGATTGAACCCACTTGCCAGATCCATTGTTGAAAACAATTTTGCATTACTGATGGCATCAATTGACTCTTCAATTCTGGGTAAAGGGAACTGATCTCTGATTGTCTTGGCACTCAGACGTCTGTAATCAACACATAGCCTCAAGGAGCCATCCTTTTTTCTAACTAACACAACAGGAGCAGCATAAGGACTGTGACTTTCTTGGATGATACCATTATCCAGAAGCTTTCATATGTGATCCTTTGCCTCTTGAAACTGGTTTGGTGGTATTCTACGGTACGTTTGTGCCACTGGTACTTGATCTATGGTTGGGATCTTGTGTTTGACTGTCTCTGTGTAGCCAAGATCATTTTCATCCTTTGTGAAGACGCTTGCATGCTTCTGAAATAGGCTCTCAAGCTTGTTATTTTGTTTATGGGTACATTCTACATCTGATAAATTAATTGGGCACATGGAGGGTTGTTCTTGCTTGTTTTCTGTTGTGGATTCTCTGACAAACACCATCGCTTCATTGATTGATACTCTTTTGATGTCGATGTTTTTAGTATTTGCAACATCTTTAACCTCGTGAAGTACTCCTATCTGAGTGTGGGGTTGAAGCCAAATGTCTTTGTCAGTAACATTGGCGACTCTTACATGGAGCTGTCCATTATTTATATGAGTAAGAGTACTGATGATAACAAGATTTCCTGGCACTTGTCCATTCAGTGGTTCCACAAGCGCAGCAGTGTTTCTTGTTTGGGGTCCTTACCACCCATTGATTCTAACAACAGACACTGATCCAGCTGGGACTCTAATCTGAGACTTTCCAGCAACTTTTGCAAAACCACAGACTGAGATGGACTTGGTTCTGGTTGTTATCTCCAATACTTTGCTCCATTGAGGGGAAGTTCCTGTTTTTCCATTCTTAAAAGGTTCGTGCAGTTGGGCAATTATGTTCATCCCTATTAGTCCAGGGATAATCTTCTTGTGTTGCCTAGCCTCTTGACTCGCTGGACTCTTTACAACTAAAATTCCTCTGCATGGGATCATGACTCCCAAGGCTTCAACGTCCAATTCTAGATACCCAACGTACGGTATCGCTAGTCCATTTGCTGCAGTTAATTTCAACCAATCGGCAGTAGGTAAAAGAGTTTTTCCTTGCGGGCGAAAGTGGTCATTGGAAAATTCTTCTGTAATTGTAGATACTTCAGATCCTGAGTCTAGAAGGCAAGGTACATCTAGTCCACCCAATTGTACTGTGACCACTGGGCACTTTCCAACTGCCTTTTCGTATATGGTTGACATATTCTCATTTGAGCCATTGTTGTCCCCTCCTGTCACTTGGCTCCTTGTGACAGGGGGCATTAGTTTGGCAACTTGTCAGGGTGCAGTTTACCTTGTGGTGGACCTCCCCTGACAGCGAGGTTGTCCTTAGTTCGGCAGTTCCTGGCAATGTGTCCATTGTGGTTGCATTTGAAGCAAACAATGTTAGAACGCTGTCCACTCCATTCCTTGGCTGGGTGTTGGGTCCTTGGCTGCTTGAGGTCTCTTATTGAACTCGTCAGTTCTTCTAAGGACTTCTGTTGCTTTAGAAGGACATCCAAAACCTTATCCATAGGGGTGATGGTGGAACTAGCATAGCACTGAGAGCTTTCAGGTGCAGCAGTCGATACTTCTTGGGATAGCGGGGTTCTAGGCATAATTCGCTGTGGTCTTTCTTCCTCTTCTGACCAGCGTAGTGCCTCCTCCCTCAAATCCAAGAATGAAGGGTCACACTCCGTGATGAACTTCTTCAGTTCTTTTCGAAGGAAAGGATCCCTCACATTGTCTGCAAATTGGTCTCGCAGAGTCTTCTCTGGGTCAGGGACTGCCTTTGGATCTGCTTTTGTCGCATTCTTGAGTAGTTCATTTAAGGAATACGAGTATGCTCGAAGTTTTTCACTTTCCTTCTGCTTTCTCTCATAGAAGAGCTTTAGGAGTTGGGAGCTTGAACGTTTCTCCCCAAATGCCTGTGTAAGAACATGCAGGAGGAAGTCTGGGTGGCTTCTATCCCTCTTGCTGTACATTCGCACCTCTTCCTTGGCTGGCCCTTCCAGATGAGACATTATGAAATCCACTCTCTTGGCTGGTGTCATTTCTCTCGCCTCGAAAGTAATCTTCACTTCAATAAAGTCCTCAACTGGCTGCTCATCTTCTGTCTTCCTTCCAGTGAAATTTTTTATTTTCTTATCTCGAGGAAAGACAACAATCTGCTTCTGTCCATTCGTACTAGGTGTCGATGGTTGTGATGATGATGCTGTAGCAGACTCTTTCAGGGCCTGGAGTTGGTTCATAGCTTCTTTATACTTCTTGGTCAATTCTTCTAGGTCTTTCTTCAACTGCTCAGCAGACATGATGATTCACTGCTATTGCTGTTATTGCAATCACCCTTTTTTATAAAACTGGTATATATATATATATTTTTTTTTAAATTGGTTCTTGACTTCTTTTGTACCCTGCTCGCAGCGCCAAATGTGACCGAGGCAAGTTCTGATGTTGTTATTTGAACAATGAGACAGACTTAAAGCCACAATAAAATTTATTTATACAGGAAAGTACAAAAGAAATAATACTGATAAAAAGAAAGGGTGATTGCAAGCAAATCCTCAGTAAAATAGGTCACTAACTTGAGATTACATGTACTGGAGTTACTTTTTTGTGACCAAGCGGTTCTGAGCTTGTAAGTGCTGATCTTGACACTCTGAACTACTGAGTTAAACTAACTGTACTTCTTTTATAAGGAATCGAACAATAGCAGGAAATTCTCTAAAATTTTGGAAGTTAGGTGTGATCATTCTAAAGGAAATTTATGATGCAAATCCTGTGTGTATGATAATTTGGTTATCATAGGAAATAGTTTCAGAAGATGTAATTCTAAAATTATAACAAAAAATATTGCAATGTCATGCACAATTGTTAGCCTGGTCACAAATGCAAGGTTCTAATGGTTGTGATCTTAGTCTTTGCATTTCCTCACTGACTTTAAGGGAGACAGAGACTTTCTTTTCATTGAAGTTCAATATAATATGTAATCCTGAAATATTATGAGCTCTACTGAGGGCAACATAATGCATGTGATCCTTAATTGTTGAGGGAAGGTCAACAACTAGTCGTGTTGGCATAATAGCGGAAAAATTTTTCCACTCGTGCGGGCTCATAAATGTCAGTGGTGTTCATCTAAAATGGTAGGCAGGCTCACATAGCGCTGCGGTCGCCCTACTGAAATCAGTAAAAACAAAGGTAATCTTTCGGTAAAATGCCGAGGGAAAGTTGTGATCTTGACTTAGATTTACGGGCTTCTGA